GAGTATAGGAGTGTATTCTCTGCATACTTTTTGCAATGCAGTATACAGTAGTATGTGTCCACCTCTTGCCATTGGGGATCAAAGGGCAATAAGGCTATAAATTACTGGTAGGAATCAGGCAGCTAGCAGGCCACATGCAGGGCCCATGCATATTGGCAATTTCCAATCCCAAAATCCAGGCCTGCCCGCCAAAAAAAAAAAAAAAGTGTTCCTGGGAGTTTTCTGGCAATACAGTTCTCATTTAAAACAAGGTGCACCCCTGTATGTTGTTCTAGCCAAAGGAATTTCCGCCAAACCAGAGGTGAACATTGGTTAAATACTTTTGATGAGAGGTTTTGGTAGCAAAGAGATGGTGGTAGCCCCTGAAGGGTTCCAGAGTTTAGGAAATTGCCCCCTCCAACCCACCAGAGTTGCTTGTCCTCGCTCTAAATCTAAATCTTATATATCAGTTTATTATGTTCTGTTATTTCTTACAATTTCAGAAATGAAGGTATAGTTAAATAAGCACAAGACTGTGGAAGATCAAGCAAAAACAGGTGTCAAGGTTGTGTTTGTGAGGAAGAGGTAGGCAGTCCTGATGTTCTTGTGCTCCTAGTAGAGAATTGAGGGAGGATTAGAAATGGGATCAGAAGAGCCAGTATGATGTAGTGATGTGACTATTGTACTGTAGCAGGACTCTGGGAGTCCAGGGTTTCCAACCCTACTCAGTCATGGAAACCTCTGGGTAACCTTGGACAGGATGATACCTCTCTCATCCTAAAAGGAAGACAATGGCAAACTGCCTTAGAATAAATCTTGCCAGGAAAATCCTATGATAGGGCCAACGTAGGTTAGAGTTAGTTGGAAGATGCACAATAACAACCTCAACAACAATCAGGAATGAATAGATGTGTAGTAAATACCTTTTCCTTCATCCTCGTTTCCCAGTCAATGGGACAATGTTAACTCCCAGTTCTGATGTTAAGGTATGAACAAAATGACTGTGAAGGACTTCTAGCGTACTTGAAAAAATAATTACTAATAATGGGCACCTGTGGGTGTGTGTTGGGAGAGTGGGGAAACCTAGCAGCTATCTCTGGGCTAGTAAAACATTAAGCATGTAGGTCTGGGGTGATACTGGTGATGATGATGATGTTGGTAATAGCAAAGGATGGACCCATAGTGTCACATGTTAAAGGGATGGGCACCTCAGTTGCATTAGTCCACTTCCCTTCCCTTTTCATCATCCTGTAGGCCAAACACCTCAACTGGTAGGTCCAGTGTGATTTCTCAGAGCCCTGCCCAGTTCTGATGGCAACCTTCTACCTACTTCGTATAAAATGGTTTTGACCAATCAGGTCACAAAACATTGCCACATCCCGTTTGTGTGTTGACTTTTGCAGTCAAATATACATCCACCACTCAAGTTGTGATATAAATTACAATTCTCTTAATGTTGTAGTTCTCTGTTCCAGATACAGAAGTTCAATGTACACCTGGAGTTGTTCAATTTGCAAGAATTCTTTGTTAATTTCCATAGCTAGAACAAAGGTGGTGAATCTCCTTCAGCCAGAGGGAGAAATTCATTGTCAGAGAAATTCTTGGGAGTTACATTCCAACAGTTAATGGGGGTCAAAGGAAACAGTGTGAGACTCAAAATATGAGCATATTTTAAAGTGGAGTTCTTATTTTCAGCACCTAAATCTTAGGAGAGACTTTTCAAGTGTTTAGAATGAAGAAAACAACTTATATAGCAGCTGGGGTGCCACCAAGGGTCTGGATTTGGCCTCTGCGCTTGCATTTTCCCAACCATACCTTAGAAGAAGCTTTGTGTGTGTTTGTGTGTCTGCATGTACTGCATATGTACATCTATTTCCCTCAGTGAAATAAACCTTCCCTCTTATTTGTCCACCCACATTTGGGTATAACTAGTTAGAAATAAACATATTCAGGGGATATCCATGTTGCCCATTCATCAAAATAAAATAAATCCAAAATCCAGACAAAAGCAATACTTTTATTAGCCATCCAAAATGCACAAAATACATCATGCAGGCTTTTGAAGCTCCACTGGCTTCTTCATCAGGCAAAATATGTTTTAAAAATGTTGAAGGCACACAACAAATAAACTTTTCCTTTTCCCAGTAACATATACAGTCATGATTACAGTATAACATGAGGGAAACCATTGCTCCTCTTTGTAGTATAATTGTAATGTATTTTAATCAGTTTTTAACTTTTATCAAATAAACAGCATTAACTTTTGGAGCCTTTAAGGCAAACCACCAAAAGATTTTCTTTCAAAAGAGGAAGAAAATGTAAAGCCCTGCAGAAAGAATTGTTCCTCTTTGAGCAGCTGGCTTCTCTGAAGCAGAAAGGGCTGTATTTTAAAGGCAACCTTTTAAATATAACTTTCTGATTTTTTAAAAATCTGTGTATCATTCTTGAGAATTGTTGGGGCATGGGTGTGCTGGTCTCCGCATACTATTATGCCACATTAATCCTGTGGGTGGGTGTGCATTTACTTTGCACGTTGTCTTAAGCCAGAAGTGGGCAGTGAGGTCAATGTTTTATTTTTGTGGGTCCTCTGGGGTATCTAGTGCCCTTCCCTCCTCACCATTGGCTCCCTATTGCAATTCTCCATATCTAGAGCACTATAGGAAAGTAAATTTTGCAAGAAAACAGGGTGCAAACTGGAAGTAGACTTTTTATCTCTCCCCCCCCCCCCGCAACATTTTCAATACTTGTGTGGATTGCATTGGATGTTGAAAGATTGCCCTCCAAAACCCTAAAGCTGCCCAGCTTTGTCTTAGACTGCTTAAGTGTTTTGTACCACAGGCTAGTAGCTTGTAGATGTCTTCCTCCCCTCTTTTTTTTTTGAAAGGTGGAATCTTGCCAAGAAAACTTATGATAGGTTTGCTGAGGGTCGTCATAAGTTGAAACAACTTGAAGGCATCCAACAACAACAAAACTAAGAATGATCTTTTCATTTTCATTTGAGAAATGGGAAAGCACAGTTCCTTTCAAAGAAAATTCAACTATTATTGTAACAAACTGATGGAAGAACTAATTACTTCTTAAAGTATCTTTTT